ATGAAGGACTATATTGATCTAAAGAATGAAATTAAGCTAATTAGGCAGATTCGTACACTAAGCTAGATAAGGTCAAAGGAAACCAAACTTTAAAAGAAAAAATCAAAGAAAAATGATAAAAAAGAATTAGAGGAACAAATAAGAAGGGAAACAAGGTAACGAAAATAAGAGAAACAACCAGAGGAAGATAAAGGTCTAGTTGTAGACAATATGCTAACAACGGGCATTATTAATGTAATAAGTAGAAGAGCTTTATCTAAGTCAAAAAAAAAATTGATCAGCGAATGATTATGGCAATAAGGTCATTGACCCACAAAAAAAAAATTGAAAAGACGAGCCAATCTCTTTCACCCTAAAAACATGGAAATGATCCAATTCCCACATGAAGATAGTACTGTAGTCATTACTATTGTGTATAATTATGTGAAGAGGATCTTATTTGATAATGGGAACTCGGTTGACGTCTTGTATTATGTTAAAATGCTGAAAATAGGCATTAAAGAAGAAATGTTGAAACAGTTCACCACTACACTAATCGATTTTGAGAACTAGCAAATGCATGTAAAATGAACCATCAAAGTGTCAATCTCACTGGGCACTGAACCGAAGAGCGTCACCTCAATTATTAAATTTATGACAATAAACCTCCATTCAAAATACATGATACTAGACCGATCTAGCCAATTTGTTATGAAAATGATTGGCTCAACTCTTTATCTAAAGATTAAGTTTCTAACACCAAACGAGGCTGGAAAAGCTAGAGGAAACCAATCCACAATGCGATAATGTTATGTCACTGTAATGAAAGGTAAGACTTGAAAATAGATTGAAGGTTCAACTAGGGCTAAGGAACTAGAAAAGGTAGAAGAAAGGAAAATGAAGACCAGAGAAATTAAAAAAGCAAAGCAAAGCAGTTTTGGTAAAAAGCAACATGAAACCAAGAGGAAAAAATAAGCACACTCTTATGCCACTCCAAACTCTTAAGCTTAATACTTATTTATGCTACAAAATTTTATAATTTTTAATGAATCTATAGATGCTGAGTTGAATAATTGGCATTCATATGTGTTAATAGAATCAATCTTTTCAACCTATTAAAGAAATATAATAGTTATTTTTAGTTCAATTCTACTTTTCTACAATCTATTATCCTACTAACAAATCAATTGTCACATTGAGGTTTATCCTTTTCATAGGAAACAATTTTAACCAACTAAGCAGAAAAAGATAATTGATCAAAGACTTGAAGTCAATAATAACCGACCAAAATCGGTAAAAGATCTCATTTATGTGTCATTTTGGGAAAACAACTTAAAAAATACACACAAATTGGGACAAAACTTGACCATAAAGAACAATTAATTCAACTTTTAAGAAATAATGCTCAACTATTTACAAGGACTCCATTTGACATGCCGGGGATAGATTCTTAGGTGATGATCCATTAACTACATCATAAATTCGAACATGAAACTAGTTCAGCAAAATAAAAGGACTTTTACCCTATAAAAGTAAAAAGCAATAAAGGAAGGCAGGCTTCATCAGGGAGGCATACTATTCTAACTGGATTTTAACATTTGTAATAGTGAAGAAGCACAATGTGAAATGAAAAATGTGTAGCCTTTACCGACCTCAACAACGTTTCACCAAGAGACAGTTTTCCTTTGCCCAACATAAATCGACCGGTGAACGATAATGTCAAACACGACTTGTTCAACTTCTTGGACGCTTATTCTAGCTATAATCAAATCAAAATGTTAAAAAATGGTGAAGAAAAAATAGCCTTCCATCATCAATAAAGGACTATATTGCTACAAGATAATGCCATTCGAACTAAAGAATGTTGGGTGACCAACCAAAGATTGGTCAACAAAGTCTTTCAAGATTAGATTGATCAAAATGTCGAAGTATACGTAGACAACATGATTATGAAGAGTAAGATCTTGGCTAAACACCTGAAAAATCAGAAATAAGCCTTTAATACCCTCAGAAAATATAATATGAGGCTCAATTTGAGCAAATGTGTTTTTGAAAACACGTTAAGAAAATTCCTTGGCTATATGATTAACAAAAAAAGATGAGACAAACCCTAAAAAAGTTCAAGTTATTCTCGACATGAAAGCACCAACCTCAATTAAGGATGTACAAAGATTAACAAGCAAAATTATTGCCATAAGCAAATTCATATCTAGATCAATAAATCGATGCCTGTCATTTTTCAAAATCTTTAGGAATATTTCACATTTTAGATGAAAACCTCAGTGCCAGAAAGCTTTCAAAGAATTTAAATAGTTTTTGTCCTTTCCACTTATTCTTTGTAAGTCGAGACCCAATGAGATACTATACTTGTACCTGGTTACAACTGACTAAGCTATCAGTTTAGCATTGTTCAAAAAAAGAGGAAAAGAAAGACATGTATATTTTATGAGCAAAGTTTTAATAAGGTTCGAAACGAATTACTCTAGGATAGAGAAATTGGCTTATGTGGTTATGACATCAACTAGGAAGCTTAAGCCATATTTTCAAACTCTCATAATCAATGTTTTAACCGATCAGCCACTTAGGCAAATCCTACAAAAACTAGAATTGTCAAGCAAGTTGATCAAGTGAACAATAAAACTCAATGAGTACGACCTATATATACTCTTCAAGTCCATTTTAAAATCACAAGTATTAGCCATTTTTGTCTCTAAATGCATCTCGACCCAGACTAATGAAAAAGTCAGAAAGGCCGAGAAAATAAAAGAAGAAAGAACTTGAAAACTTTTTGTGGATAAGTCAACCATTAATCAAAGAAGTGGAACTGCCTAATTTTGATCACCTTAGAAAATCTATAGTTCCAATACCCTTTGAAGTTCGAATTCAAAGCCTCAAATAGCGAGGCTGAATATAAGGCACTAATCACCTGCTTGGGATTAGCTACCAAGCTGAATGTGAAAAATATTATTATGCAACTCTTAACTAGTTGTCAGCCAAATAAATGGAGAATTTGAACCCTAGAAAAAAGGAATAAAAAGGTACCTAGACAAAATATTAGAACATTTAACCGCATTCTTCAAGGTTGAGGTTAGAAAAATACTAAGGTTAGAAAACAAATCAGTTGATTCACTATCTAAACTGGCATCAAGGATAACAACTGACATCTCAGCTTATGTTTTGGTAGAAAAGCTAATAAACAAAAACATTGATGAAAAACTAATCAACCAAATCGAAGAGAGAAAGTCATGGATGACACCAATCAGAGCCTATGTGATGGCATGTGAACTACATAAGGATAAAGTTCAAGCAAAACTTTAGTAAAAAAAGCTCATTGATACATCATGATTAATGGGAAACTATACAAAAGATCCTTTAGTTTGCCCTACCTTAGATATATAGATGAGGGGGAAGCAAACTATGTTCTCAAAGAAATTCATGAAAAAATATGCAGTAATCATCTCGAACCTCGGCCACTAGCCTACAAGGTTCTCAGACAAGGTTATTACTGGCTAATCAGATGGAAAGATATAACAAATTAGGTAGTTGGCCCTTTATAGAATACGGAATGGACGTTTTTAATCCGTTCACTCCGACCACGGTGTAGAGGAGATTCATATTAGTAGTAGTTAACTGTTTCACCAAATGGCTTGCAACCAAGCCCTTAACTACCACAATCAAAGCTCACATTGAAAAATTTGTGTGGAAGAACATAGTTTGTAGATTTGGCTTACCTCAATCCATAACAGCAGGCAATGGGAAACAGTTTGACAATCCAAGATTAAAAAAATGGTGCTTTAATCTTGGCATTGATCTAAGATTCACCTCGATCGCATATCCCTAATCCAATGGCCAAGTCGAGATGGCCAATGAGCCCATACCTGAAACCCTTAAAAAAAATTAGATGAAGCTAAAAGTATATGAGTTAAAAAGATACCCAGCATATTGTAGAACCTTAAACGACCACAAAAGTTTCTATCGAAAAAACCCTCTTTAATTTAGCTTTTGGAATAAAGGTCGCGGTTCCTTTAGAAATCGCCCTCCCCAGTCTCCAAGTCAAACTTAGAATTGAAAAAAAGAAGAATGAAGCCCTTAGAGCTAATTTGGATCTAACAAAATAACAGAAAGACATAACTCTAACTATAATAACAATATATTAGCAAAAACATCCAATTTCTACAATAAAAGGGTCCGACAAAAAAATATAAAAAAATGACTTGGTATTTAGAAAATAAAAACCTCAAAAGTCAATAACCGAGGTGAAAAGTTAACCCTAAACTGAGAGGGCTCCTACATCGTTAAAGAGGTCATCCATGATGCAACCTACAGGATACAAGATATGAATGAAAATCTCATTCCAAGGACTTGGAATGTGGACAACCTTAAGGTCTACTACCAGTAAAAGCCATAAGGTCGAGCACACACTCGTAATTATTTGTACTATTCAATTTCTAAGTTAAATAAAATGTTGAACTCGTTTAGAATTTATTTTTGATTAAAATCATTAATGAAGTCTAACGCTCATCAATAACCAACCTCATACTTGTTAAATTTTCGCATCCTAAATAATAGAGTAAACATTTTCCATTCAACTCAATTTAAAAAAAGTTGTTTACCTGATACTCATTAAGAAATTATCACACAAACCTAACAATCTCACAAAGCTTATCTTAAAAAGTAAGTTCATAACTAAAAAAAAAAAACCTCAATTATAATACCACACTGAATTGACAATCCAACTATTAATATAGATTTTCATGTTAAATTAAAATTTATTATTTTATTAATTCCATCTTATGTGTGAAATACCAAGCTAGGACTTAGTTACTTAAATTGTCACTTTTAATGAAACGAGCTGCGAGGTAAAAAAAATGAAACAAATCCAAAGCTTAAGCTTATGCAAAAAATACTTTCATTTCATTTCATCAACAATATTATGTACATTTGGTAGGTCTTGGACTTGTATAAAAAATTACAAAAAATGATAAAATTATAAAAAATGAAAACAAAAAGAGCTGCTCTAAGCCTCTTCCCGTTGCTTTTTTTCACCAAGTCAAAGGCATAAAAAATTGACTCCAAGCAAACTCTGTTTGCATGTCATAAAACTCCACAGAGGCCAAGAAATCATCCACCGCCTGTTGTAAGGCCTTTTTTTTTCAACTTTCAACTTTCAACTCTAACTTTAACCTTACCACCTCGGCCAAAGTCTCATTAAGCTTGAGGTTAGCTTACTATTGGAAAAACTCAGTTGTGGCCTTTTGCATGGACATGTCCTTAAGCTGTCCATGCCCTTAAGCTTAACAACCAAGTCTTTTACTCTTTTACCTTCTTGCCAAGCTCTTCCTTGTCTTTTTTTTTTCTCTGCTAAAAAAGCCTTCATCTTTTTATTGGCCTTTAGGGCTTGCTGAAAAACCTGAGCATAATCTTTTATATCCCACTCGATCTTGTGATAACACATAATAGCTCGATAGGCATTGAGTAAGCCTTACCCTTTAGTTTGAGAGATAGAGGATAAAAGTTGTTCAGAAGCTACATAAAACAATAACTAAGCTTAGACTTGGAAAAAATTAAAAAAATATATAAGAATAAACCGAGCTAAAAAATGATACTGACTTTTTTTAGTAAAGGTCAACCTTGTGATATTCTTAACCATCTCAAGCTCTTTAAATAGGTTCTTTGTGAAGTTGAACTTTAAATTTATTGCCACCCACTCCAAGGTAGGCTACAACCTAGTGCGTGGTCTAGTAGGACAAGCCACAATCCTTTGTTTCTTTGAGGCTTTCTCCTTTAGGCCATTTGTTTTTGCCTCTTTTAGATTACAACCAGGCTAAAAGAAGGTTGAAAAGGAGGAAGATTGATTATTTTTACTCTCTTTGAAAGCTCTTTGAGCTAAATGAGAGCCTTACCTCCATTCTTAGACTCAAGAGCATAAAGGAAATATGTGAACTCAAAATCTCCCATTTGAAACGATATGTCTGCACATGAAAATTAGCTAAATGTTAGAAAAACTTTTTTATAGAATAAGCATTGTGTGAAGTTACCTCAAACCTACCCCAATACTTATCCTTCTTTACAACAAAAAAAAAAGTTCAGCTCATTAGCATCCACAACTAATTCCCTCCTTTTAAGTTAGTCCATTATTTTGTCCCGAGCTTCTAACTCACTAATCTTATAAAGATCAACCTAGACATCTTCAAATGTGCCCGGTCCTTATTCACCTCCCATACCCCATTATTATCCTTCTGAATGCAAAGGAAGAGCAACTTTCAACTCTTTATTGAGCTCGACCAATTTGTAAAAATTTTTTTGCAAGCCAAGCTATGACATAAAACTAGCTCTTATCATGAGGATACTTCTTGACTACAAAAAATTCCTTAAATAAGGGAACTGTAATATCTAATCCTAGTTTTTTACAAAGAATAATGAATCCTATAATATACCAAAAAAAATTTGAGATGAATTGAGTGATAGTCAAATCATAAAAAAGAAAAATTTCAACATTAAAAATATGTAAAAGAAACCTCAGACCAACCATTATAGACGTCTAATACACCCAAATCTTGTTGGTGTCCAAAACAATAATAACTCGATCATCGATGGTTTGTTATTATATTGTATCCTTTTTTAAAAAGATCAAATTTAACCTTTAAAGCATGAGAATGATACTTCAGGCACATCTTAGGGATTGCTTTTGCCCTTTGATCTTTGCATCACATCTTTTGAGGTTATACCTAGGTCATAATAGGTATAAAAAGGGACAAGTTCATATGCAACACCATTTAAGATGACCTTTTCCTCAACCTCACTTTCCCCTTTCTCTTTGGCTTGGTTGGACCCTTCCACTTGCTTGTCTACAGCCTGCTTACTTTTAGAGGTTTCATCACTTGATGACTCACCCTTCAAGGACCAAGCAAGGACCTGCACTCAAACAGAAGCAGGGATTACTATAATATTAGAAGAAGAAAATGAAAAGGGAGAAAAGACAGATGACCATTTAGGCTCATGATACGAACTAGGATTGGACCTTAAGGCCAATATAAATAGATGTCGAGAGAAAGCAAAAAAAAAAAAAGGAATAAAAGTCAGTCAGAAGAGCTGGATTGACCCAACATAAGGTTTGAAGATTTTCAACGGCAAAGTCTATTGCAACAAAAAGCTTATCCATGCCATGACAAACTCGCTCTCCCCTAACGAGCATTTTCCTAGAGTTGTCTTTGACCGTCAACAATCATCAAGTCAACCAGTAGGCTACTCGACTATAATCCCTTCCTCAAATGATAGAAGCAATTTCATCATCTAAAAAACCCTGATAGTTGAGTTAACCTCTCTTAGCTCCATTTTAAAACTTCTAGATATACTAGAATCAAAAAACATAATGAGAAAAGGTTAAGAAACGTATCGAAGAGGTTAAGAATAAGTTGATCTATTGAAAGGATGCTAAGAAAAAGCTAGAAGATTAGTTAAATTATGTTAACACAAGAGAAAAAAGTTTGTAAAGTAAGGTAAAGACCCTAAAAGAGCCCTTTATATAGCTAACACAGAAATCATATGGATGTTTCGAATTATGCCACATGGCAGAAGAGGTTACCTAAGATGACCTTTCACATTTTTAGCTTAAATTCATTTAACCATCAATTTTTCTCTCTCCTAATTAAATGTAGATTCATTTTCTGATAACAAATTAATCTTTATAGGGACACATTAGTCACTTCAAAAAAGCTAGTCTCATGCCTTAATGCAAAAGGAAAATTTACAAACCAAGAAAAAACAAAAGTTTAACATTAGCCCTCACAATAGTAGACCAATTAACTACGATTAAACGAGATGTCGAGTACACAAAACACATCGATAGCCAACTATAAACTTGCTTGATCTAACCTTTTTTCATGTTAGCACCCATATTCTCTCACCTCAGTGACTTACGGTCGAATCAACGAAATAAATCCTCAAAGCCTATGCTCAAAAAACTTAAGCTCACACATCAAATCAGCTCAATCCATGATTCGTCAGTTTGATACTTAGATTGCTCGATGAATGATAGAATGTCAGGTGCATTTTTAGGTCTAAAAGGCATTTTGGTCATCTTTCCTCATTAAAGGTTGCCAATAGACAACTAAAGGCATTTTAGATTTTTGGGCTGACCTAACAAGTCAGTCCAACTTAAGGTCACATTGCCACGTCAGCTTGACTACCTCACCAATCTACATAATGGCTTTCCTTCAATGTTGACTTGTCATCCCCTGCGTGGATAGCCAATGTCCATGTCAACTCGACCTTCACAATCATCCCTAACCATAAAATTGATCCTGGAAAGCCTAAGCTGCCCAAACCCCTCACATTTGAACTATAAATAAAGACATCTAGGTATCATTCAAATCATCTAATAACCTTATACCCTGCTACTTTCTTTATTCTCCTTCATATCTTCCTACTTAACCGATCTTTAACTTAAGTGTTGGGGCACAAACACTGAAAACACCCCCAACCTTTATTCCTAACTGCTCTTTTTCTTTCTTTTTCTTGTGATTTCAAGGTCTTACCCCCTCTAGCTCAATTTTGCATAAACACCTAACTATTCTTGAACACTAAATCTAGATTGATCATTGAATTTGTTAGTTTTTGTTTGTTTGATGATTTTCATGATATTAGCCTTTTTAAACTGATCATGGATTTTGTTGAATTTGGTTTTTTGCTTAACTATTTATCATGTGCTCTAAGTTTAGTAAACTCAGTAATTTTTTTATGGTAGAAATAAAATTCACTAGCTGTCAGGCCCATGCTATGTTGTAAGCTTGTTTTAACTGTGAAAATCTTGGTTAGCACCTTCATTCATTTCGTGAATTTCTATATCCCATAATTTGGGGTTTTCAACATGAAAAGCATCATTAAATGAAATAAGTTGTTTATTCCCATTCTCAAAACCCAATTTGCACCTTACAAATGAAACCTAAAAACAACACTATGCTTCCAACCTCGAAGATGCTCTGTGTAACGACCATCATGATTATGCAAAAGATGCAAAGATGTAAATTTCCTCAAACATGCAAAAGATGCAAATGCATAAATAAGTACATAGCAAATTACCTCTTATCCTCTTAACTAAAACAGAAGAAGATTTAGCACCTGATAGTCAAATGATTTTTGATGAACTGCCTACATTACATCTTCAATGACGAGCTAGAAAAAGCAAACATTTAATCTTGAAACATTTTCTTAATCCTCTAGGTTGCATTGCATGATTTTTTTTCATTTTACAATCTAGTTTGGAGAAAGTAACTCCTAATATAAACCAAAAACATTTTGATTACAAATCCAAAATCAATGTAGAAAAACTAAATTTATAAATCATTAGCAGCTTGTTAATCTTGGAAATCAATTTTGTATAGCACATGATATTCACAATATTTAATGCATATTAGAAATATAAATGCAAAGATATACAAATGTTTCAAGTCAACTAAAGCATATAAAACCATTAATGAATACAATGAAATGATTGAATTTTTGACTAAAGAACAATAATCTACATGCCGAAAGATTACTAAAGATAAGGATCAAGCATCTCTAATGGCCTAAAAACAAATAAAGTCCTACGAAGAAGAATAAATAAACAGTCAACTTAAAATCAAATATAATCCGTTAGAAGGGTACTTTCCATGCTGTCAACTAAAATTGCCTATAGAAATATAACAATTGACTCAATGGCATACAGAACATTAAGAATGGAAATTATGTAATAAAATCTTTAAGGATTAGATTTTAGGGAATAATCATTCATCATTCCTTGATGTTATGAATATAAAATGTATCAAAGGAAAGAAAAATAAACCAAACTTCAATGGTTGGTTCAGTTAGTTACACCTGGTGATGTGATAAAAGGCTGTCAATTTCATAATGCATCATAAAAACAAAATATGAATCTTATAGTTTTTACTAAGGATTAAGATACGTTAATGCTTTAGTTGATCAATTTGGTTGCCAAGTAAGAAAGAGAAACAAACACCTACAATGGCTTAATTGGAAGGTATAAAAGCTTTTTGACTTATTAGTATTCTATCTGCATAAAAGTATATCACAGTGGAAAACCACTTCCAATTGAGCATTAAAAATAAAATAGATAAGCTAAAAAAGAAACCTTCATGTATGTATCTACATCAAGATTTGGAACTATCCCTGCCTGCTTCTCTTTTTTGCTGACTTCCTTCATTATTTCTTTCATAAGCATAAAACAGATTAGAAATTAAACCAGTAAACTACATCAAAATCACCATTTTTATATATGGCACTTACCAGTTCTACTTCCTATACCTTGAAAGCGTGCAGAAAAATCAAGTGTTTCCCTCACTGTCTTTTTAGGAGTATGCAGATCAAATTGGCTAACGTAAGCTGAGGTTTTGTGATGATTAAACTTGTCCAGTCCATAACTATTGTAAGTTATTTCCCCTGCAACCTTTTACAGAATAAAAGAGAAGAAAAAGATAATAAGCATGTGACAGCTTAGCAATTAAGAAATCAAGATGCTGTGAATAGCAGTTTACAACTTTATGTGGTGTTTTAGATCCTACCCTTAAAAAAACTATACAAAAACCAGTGATAGACAGTAAACCAAGACTAACCAAAGGAACATGTTTTAGGAAAAGAAGTAATAAAATAAAAATATGCCAAACAATTATATTTAGAAAACATATTGTGCTTTTGTTAAAGCAAAACTATAAATAACAATTCCACTGAGAATTGTCCCCTATCATCGAGTCCAAGTAGCCAATCTAGGAACAAAGGAAGATTTGTCCCCTGTCATGAAGTCCAAGTAAATCATATTGCAAGGTCAAGTGTGATTCACATGAGTAATCTTTTTCTTTTGCAATTTGACCTTGTATCACGAAAGCATAAATCCATTGTATCTCTTTTAAATTAATTCTTGCAAAGACAACAGAATACATCAAAGAATTTTGTAAGATTAGTCATATTCAATCAAGAATATCAATGACATTTTGTCACTTCAGTAACGATTTTGAGACCGCTAGATGTAAAAATGAGTTTAAAATCGAGAAAAATAAAAAAGAAGGAGTCACCACCAATCTTTGTTAGGGTGTGATTGGTCACCCAAAAGCTTATCTTTTTAATAAAACTATAAAAATGAGTTTAAAGTCTTATCAAAAAGATAAATTTCGATCTGCGAAAAATCAGGTTGGATCCGAGAGTCGGTTACGCGTGGGGAAGGATTAGCACCCCCACAACGCCTATAAATTGGTACCATTTAATTATGCGTTATTTTCGACGTTGGATAAAAATAGTTTTAATTTAAAAGTTAACATTAATTCCCTTCATTTAAAAATATTTTTGCTAAAATTTTTATTTAAGAATATTGAGAAAATCTTTAAGTTAAAGAATTATCCTGAAATTCTCCAACATCTAAGCAGAACTTGAAATAACTATTTTCACTTAAGATTTAACACAGCAATCCTTAAAATGAAATAACGCTCTTTATAAAAAATTGTTGGTGACTCTCCAACATCCAGACAGAGTACCAAAAATTTTTTTTTAATGTTATTTTTATTTTATTTTGTAATATCACAAAAAGATTTTTTTTTTAGTATTATTCTTTTTTTATTATAAGATATTTTATCACTAAGTAGTAAATAAAAAATTAAAGACAGAATAGTACAAGTAAATACTGATAATAACATGCTAACGTATATCATACTAATGAATGTCATGAAAAATGAGATGCAATTTAAGAGTTGAATTCTTAAATATAATGAGATCATCCCGACTCTCCAACATCTAGGAGAGCTTAAGTGCTACTGTTTATATTTAAGATTTCCAATTTACCGTTATGCTTTTTTATTTATTAATCTTATCATTAACGCGATTTAAGAAATCGTGTGAAAAGACTTCACGAAGTAAAATTTTCTAAATACCCCATCATCTAGACGATATTCAGGAATAAATTGCTTCAAATAGAATTTTCATACGTGTCCTTAAGATTTTTTAGGACTTTGGATTTCGAAGATTTTGGACTTTTAAAGGTTTTGAATTTTAAGGATTTTGAATTTTATGGGGTTTGGATTTAAGGGATTTTGAATTTTTAGGGGTTTTAGAAACCTATGATTTTGAAAATTAAGAATTAGTGTTTAAGGTTTCGTTTTTAAGAAAATACGAACATTTCTAAAAATCTCCAACATCTAAGCGAATTTTCGAAACAAGTTCGATTTTAGTGATTTTTGAAAATTAATTTAAAATTTTCTTATATTTATTTTTTTATGAAAATTTATTAATAATAATTCCCCAACATCTAGAAGAAATTATTTCTTTTAAAAAAATATTTTTATTCCCTCCAACATCTAGCAGGAAAAATAATAAAAATTATTTTTTTGAGCATTTTAATATATTTTAATTATTATTTGTTTTCAATTTTATTATTATTAAAACAATTAAACATTTATTCTAATAAATTTATCATGCATAAATATAAAAAAAATAACAAAAATAATAATATAAAAAAATTAAAAAAAATTTTTTTTTACCTAAACCGAACCGATCAATGGTACGATCAACGTTGGTCCGGACGATCTAACTGGTTCAGCAGTTGGATCGACGGTTCGGAGATCTGACCGATTCAGTCCGATCCACTGGTGGTTCGTATGAACCGATTCAAGGTTGGCTGGGACGGGTCGTCGGTCGGGTTGCGCGGATCTCAAGTCGGGTTCGGGTCAACGCACGGATCCTTCTTTGGTTAAAATGACGTCGTTTTGGGCTTTTATTAAAACGACGTCTTTTGGCATTGACAGTTTATATAAAAGTTTAAAAAAAATTTGTCAATTTTTTTTTAGTCTTCAGAAAAAAAAACAGCTTTTTTTTTCTTCTTTTTCAACCGCACGCCGGTCAGCCGTCGGTACCGCCACCGTTCGCCGGTCACTAGTGGTCGAAAAATCTCAAAATTCTCCCACAAACTCTTCTCGACCTCCTGAGCGCAAATCTGACCTCCTTTTCACCAAAAACGACATTGATTCGCGTAGATCAAATTTTGAAGTTTTCGATAGACTTTTTTTTTTGTGTCGAAAGCTAACTGGTACCTTTCTTTGTTGGTGCAGGTGACTCGACGCTGAGGTTCCTCCCTACGGGGAACTGTGATTTCGTTTTGGTTTTTGTTTTTGTTTTTGTGTTTCTATTTTTTTTTACGTTTCTTTTTCGGCTAGATGGTGCTCGTGTATTTTGAGGGGGGTAGCTGTGTGTTTGAAAATGAATTTTTTTTTTTTGAGCGCTGACCCATCCCCAATGAGGAAGATGGCTAGGGATTTTAAAGGGTTTCTATTTAGGGGAATCTAGGTGGCTATAAGTAGGCTGTAAGTAGGCAGAGAGAACTGGTCAGGGGATTGGTTGGGTTGGTCAGGGAGTTGGTTGGGTGACTGATAGGGAGTTGGTCGAGGCAGTTCAGCATCGTACCAACCCCTTGACTTCTATCTTATTTTCGTTTTGTTTTTTGTTTGTTTTGTTTTTTGTTTGTTTTGTTAAATATTATTATTATTATTATAAAAATAAAACAGTAGACTCAGACAAAATCGGTGTCTACAGTCACGCCAAAAAAATAAAAAGCTAAAGTGCTCATTCATCCGAAGATCCAAAATATGCCATTATTTTTATTACAAGCAAATAATGTAAGTATAGTGATACTATACCATCCCAGGCATGGTTTGCTAAGTGCCATAGTAACCATCATGGCTCGTTGCTATGGTGTTCAACTACCCTTATGAATGCAAAACCCTGCATTGCAAAATTAGTTTCCTTAATATAGCATTTTACTGGAGAAATAGGGCTATCTTATTTGCTCATTATGTTTTGATAATAAGAGACATACCAAGCCCTGAATAGTCTGTTGATTCCCATAATAATTATATTACGTGGTGCCATTAAATTAAGTTGAATCTGCAAAAAGCATAAAGCATAAAATTGTATATAATTGACATAAAAGATAAATGAATTCAATTGTAACTATTCTTACCATTCCTTGAACGGTAGGTTGTGTGCTAAAATAACCATCCAGGGCTATTGACCTTGAGCTTAATTTCTCCTACAAAATAAATTTTGAGTGATCAAAGTCTAGCCAATTTTACTACATCAAATATACTGATATAAGTAAACAAACTAAATACATATATGATTATGACTTTGTCTATTGTTAATATTTCAATTTAAAATAGGACAAATAAAGTGTCATAAATACTTATATATTTATAATTATAAAGAGTCATAAATAAAGTATCATTTTTAACAACACAAATATTGGGATCTTTAAGACATAGGTTATATTGACAGCTTTGAACAACAGTGAATAGTGTGCCACATATTACCATGTGAGGATTGTGGTGATAAATTGAACATTAATAAGAACCACAAGCACATTAGTTCAGCATGAAAACTATAAAGCATCAAAACCTATCTAAAGCGGCTGATTAGCTTTTGACTTAGTGGTGCATCCTTCATTAAGTAAGTTTAAAGTAAAGAGTTGTCATCTAGCATTAGATAGAATGAGTAAAAAAATGAGAATGTATAACCTCTTCATGGCTACCCAGCCGATGGATTAAATAGTAAACTGATGAGATTCACCTTTGGAAGATAACCAAAAAGAAAAGAAAAAAAAAAAGCCTTCCCCAAAATTGTTCACAAAATGAATAAAAAATTACTTACTCTTTGGCTGCAAAAATGATGAAACAAATTACCTAGTTCATTCATTCCATGCTTGATAAAGGAAATGACAAATCTAATAGATTAGACCAGACTATGAGAGCAAGCTGACTTACTGATATAGCCTAAAAGTAATTTTCGTGCCAATTTGCCAAGTGCTACAATGGCATTTGTTGCATGGGAGGGATTCTACTAACAACTAAATATCTACAAACCCAGGACAACTAATGAAGCTTCCTAACCTAACAATAAGGAAACCTCCTCTCCCAAATTCCCAATCTTTTTTTTTAAAGAAAAACTTAAATTGCATTCAGTAAGACTAAATTAATAGAATTTCCAATGGACATAATGGACCTATAGGAAATGAATGGCAAGGTTAGCCAATCTGTTTTCGGAACCCAAGCATATTATCACCAAAACAATAGGGTTTTTGGTATAATTTTCAAGTCATCTAGAATTCACATCTATAAATTCTTAAAAGTCAAGCATGAGCCAAATAGACCAATAAGAGAGCTATAGGATATGAAAATTTACCCATTCACCTCAAATGATTTCAGATATTTTCTCGAATGGAAAACTTCCAGTGCATTCCAGTTAAAGTCTCTACTTAAAATATGATTTCAAATTTAACTATAGGATCATGAACTCTAAGATTCCACTCCATGATAGGAACCAAAGTATATCATCGTTCTACTCACATATTATGTAGAAATATTCCAAAATTCACGATCACAAAATTTTAAAATCCATCGGCTATTAACAGTTCTTGGAACAAAAACCTTTATTTTTTATTTCTTATTGGCTAAAAGACCAAGAATTCTAACATTAATTTCTAATCTTTACCTAATTAAACACAGAGATTAAGAACCTAAAGCCAGCCCATAAATTAAAAAGAATGCAACGAGACTTTAGAACGTGATTTTGCTGGTTCTCTTCTTAACTTGACCAGTAAACACTATACCAATGGCCTTCGTTTTCTCTGCACCAATTGCAGCTTCACCTATGTAACCAAAAAAAAAAAAAACCTACATCGAAACCCTATAAAAAACCCAAACCAACCCCATAACAAAAATAGAACCCTGAAAACCCAAATTTGAAACAAATTAAAGATTGCACCTAAGGACCACGGAAACACCAAAATCTCGTTGTCCACATCAGCATCGGCAGACTTATCAAGGATAGATGCATTAGTGGCCTTAGTTGCATCAAATGCTCGCAGATCAGAAGGCCGGAGATCCGTTACCCGTGACTCTGACCCAAATTCCTTATGGGAGCCAATGGCTTCGTTAAACAGCTCAAATGCCTAAAAAAGAAAACTTAGTCTTAGATTCGAATCTAAAAAAAAAGAAAAAAGAGAGAGAGAGAGATTTTGACACACATGCAAATTAAAAACTCTAAAAAAGAACAAAAAAAAAATTAGATTATTAAAAGGGAAAAAAAAAAGATATGACCTTAAATCTTTTATTGGGAGTAAGAAAAGATATAACAGGTAAGGACAAGGGGCATTTGGAAGAGGAAGAGCTCCGTCGCATTTCAACCATCTTTAACACAAAATCTTCTTGTTAAAGAGGAATTTCCCTTTCTTATCTAAAAATTAAATTATAACCAACACGTTTCTCTTTCTTCTCCACTGTTTTTTTCTTTTAATTTTTTGGGTTGTCTTCTGGAGAAAACTTTTTTTTTCTTAACCCAGAAAAGCTTCTCGCTTGAAGCTGAGGAGAAAAAGCTTCTAGAGAAATGTTTTTCTAAAATTATCCTTTAATTAATTTATTTACTTTGCCTATTTATCCCCTCAAATTGGAAAAGGGGATAGCTTTTATTATACTATTGATTTTGTTTTGAATTTTAAATGATTTTTCTTTTTGAGAAAATAAAATTATTATATTTTGTTCATGCCAGTTAATTAAGAATCCGCTGCTTTGCCTAGGCCAATCCAATGATCATTACCTGAGTTGATTTATTCAAAGATAAGCTCATTACAATAACGTCGGTGGCAACAATAAACCCATCCGTTTTTTGTTATTGTAGTGAAAATAATATTTAATATAATTTTAATTATAAAAATATATTTATATAATTTTTAGAGGTGAAGATAATATTTAAAATAATTTATTATGTAATTAGTGTTTTTATGAGTGAAAATAATATTTCGTACAATTGTTAACCTTTAATTAGTATTTAATTATAAAGATTAAATATTTAATATAATTTTTAACTCTAAATTAACATTTAATTATAAAGATTAAATATGTATAAACTTGTTTTGATATAAAGGGTAATTTTGAAAATTATTACTATATTTTCATTAAAATGCTTAGTTTATCAAACATTTTAATCAACATTTTACCATGTTTACTAAACATTATAATGTTATGTTTTCAGCATTTTAATTTTCTAATCACCTTTCCAACAATCGCATTGCATTACAATTACTTAATGGTAAAGTATTAAATGCCACCTTGGTGTAGAATAGTGTTCTTATAAAATCTACAGTGAAATAGTTTTAGATTATGGTAAGTAATAATATTAAAATTTGAATGTTTTTAAGTTACAATTATAACCAAATATTTTATTTATATAATTAGCTAAATAATTAGTTATTATATCATAATAAATTTATTATTACCAAATAATCAACTAACAAACTAAAACATAATTAAATAACTAAACTTATACACAATAAGACTTGAACTTAAAGTCTCAGGATTTTATGATTACTATTAAACCAAAATCTCACTAACAAAATTTATTTGAATAATTCTTCAAAAAGAAAAAACTACTCAATATGCTTTAATGAAAATTATTAAACTACTTATCTTTTATATTTTTTAAGTAAAAATGAACTCCATTTTATATAAAATATCTCTTGAACAAGTGTACCTGTTAATTTTAAACTTTAATTAACAAAATTGAAATTATTAAATCCTACCTTGAAAATATATGAACCACTTATTAATTCTTTCAATTTCTTTTCTACTTTAACTTCTTTTATCCTCTTGTAAGAAATCAAGTTCTCTAAAACTTTAATTAAATAAATTTGATATTAATATAAAGTTAAAACTTGTGATATAACCTTATTTTTCGTTTGAAACAATTGCTTAACTGTACAATCTAAATTTTGAATAGTTTATCATTAAAAAAAAATGATTCTTTGCTAGTCTCGTTTGATAAATTAACAATCAACTTTACCTAGGATGAATTATAATTATTAATCAAACTTAGATTCATTTTGAATAAGAATAAAATATATATATATATATCATTACAATTATATATATTTACTTAGATAGACATATAATGACCATAAAATTTAATGATACCTTGTAATTGAAAGTTGAATTTGACGTATACAATCCTTACATACTTAGCCACTATCAATTTCTAACACATTTTTTATGCATCAGACTTGATAAATAAAATCATCTATAACTTGCGCCAATTTGCATTATAGTACCTCACCAAGTGTACTTCTTTACCTATTAAAGTAAAAATAAAAAATATATTTTTTTGTAATTATAATTTTATGTATATAATTACATATTGGAATTTATCAAAGTAATATCCATATTTCATACCTTCCATAAATTGTCATGCATCACTTGACAAATATATGCTATGGATCTACTAATGGCAAATAATAGTTTTTTTTTTTTTTTAAAGATATGCCTCTTTTGTTGGTGTTACATACTTTTTTACTTGAGAATTAATAAGAAATTGACTGTATTTAAATAAAAAAAATTATAATTTGAATTTTGCAAAAAACACTACATCCTATTGAAATTATTGTTTTTGAGTTCCTATATAAAATATTTATGGTAAATAACTTTTTTTTATTATTAATAAATATGCGATGGCCTGTTTATAACTCTAACAGCTTCAAATATATCTAAAACTTTGTACACTTTTATCGCTAGCATAGATGACAAATTGTATTGATTGAATTAAATGGTCAATATTATTAGTTTTAAATTGAATTTTATTTTAAAATAACAAAATATTAAGTTTAAATAACTTGATTAAATCATTTGAAATACAAGGTTTTCAAGTTACAATTTTTTTTTTTGTTTTGATTTGAAAATCATTTTAATAAAATACTTTAACATATTGGATTTAGTTTTTTTTTTTTTCCTTTTTTTTCTTTTTGGAATGTTTTTCACCTTTCACCTTCTTTGGTTTTTTTTTTTTTTTTTGGCTTTCCTCTAGTCCTCGCTAAAATCTTCTTCCTTCTGTTTATTTTAACTTCAAGCAAAATGCACTGTTTTCTTTTGCTTCTATTATATAAAAAAATGAAGAGCCAATTGTTGTACAACACTTCAGACAAAATTAGGCTCTTGATGAAACAATGAACGAACATTTCTAATTTGGGACTACTTTCCTTATATTGTACAGATGTATAGATTCTATAGATTTGTTAGTTAATTTATTTATTTAAATATTTTTTGTTCTTTTTATCTCCACCGTTGATTTTTCCTTTTACTTTTTTCTTCTCTTTATTTCTTTTCTTTTCTCTCTTCTTGTCCAACTTGTCAGCGATAGAATCTGGTCATTGGTGAAATGCTTAAGTTCTACCAATGACTAGATAACGGCCACCGACGCACCTTGCGGCACTGTGACGACTAGATCCGATAGCTCCGACAACCTGGGAATGCGGCTTCAAGTCAGTCTCAAACAAGAGGCCCGTGGCTCTTTTTGGATGCCAGTTTCCAAAATGCCCTTGTCATCTTTCTTAAAAAAGAAAAAACAAAGAGACTTTTCAAGCCCTCTAAATTCAAGCTTACTTCATATCTGTATGAAGCAATCAGTGAGCTTATATACTCGATAGCTGGATTTAAAAATTATTCGAATTTGATTAAATTATTATTTAATTTAATTTAATTAATTCGAATTATTCAACGAATTAATTTTGAATATTTTAAAATTTGACTAAAGTAGTTTACAAAAATATGTACTTGAATTTTTTATTTTTAATATTTTTTATTAAAAACATTAATTTTTTATAAATTATTTTTAATTATTTATTTATAACTTTATTTTCATTACAACTATATTTTTTTTTATAATTTAAATTCAAATTTAAGTTTAAACATAAGTAATTAAGCATATGACTTAAACTTATAAACTTTTATTTGATCATAAGTTTCATAGAATGAACTCAAAAAATTTAATTTTTAAACAAATTTAAAAAAACTAAGACTCAATGAAACTTAAACCAAACTTCAAGTCACAAATTTTCAATCGATTTCAAATTTTTTATTATTTTGATTCAATTCGCTTACGCTCTTATTAATATGCACTGTTTAGATGCTACCAGCGCCTTCATCTAGTTGCTTAATGCGCCTTTAAGGACTTCTAACAATCAGATTTAGGCTTTGGTGACCAATTTTGGTGCTTCCGACACTCTTAGCTTGTGGCCAATGCATTTTGGTGATTTCCCAACCAACGATGGTGGTCGAAGTGGTGATCACCAACCATACTCTCTCCGTACTCTCTCCATTGTCTGGGACAAAGTTGGAATTTCAAAAATTTAT